GCAATAAAAAAACAACTAACAGCAAAAGTAACAGCACAATGACCAACAGCCTTTACTTTTCCCGAACTAATGCTAAGTACTCAATAGAGTTGGGTAAACTCACAGGTGCCATACAAAATCTGAAATTCAAAATTACAATCTTCACAGAGATTCAAACCAGAGACCCCTCAGTTCTGAAGCCAAGTCATTTACTATCAAGCTACTATGCCCCCAATATTTTGTATTTAATAATTACTTTACTTTAGTTTTTTTTAGTTGTGTATAAGTATTTAGAAGAATTTAACAACCTCTTTAGGTACTTAGTTTTTATAAGGAGTCTTATTACTATAGTTTTATTTACAATGCCCCACATAATAAATAAATAGCACATTGCCCTCACCTCATTGACATTTTAAAACCAATAGTAAAAAAAAAAAAATAACAACTATATTTTACAATTCACTCAGATTTACTTCTATTAATTGTAGAGAACTAATTTATTAATAAAGGCTGGATAGAATGCATGAAAAAAAATCTCAATAATTAAACCTACAACTCATTATTGCACTTTGTATCCTTGCATAAGAATGCTGTTCCGAAATTGCCACTCCCAAGTTTTTTAACAACTTCATATCTGTTGGCTAGCACTCTTGCTTCTTTTGTGGTCCTGTCTTTTGTTGCTCTGCCAAGTGGCATGTTGCATAGTGTTAAATCTGCTTGTTTTATAAATGATACATTATCCAAGCATAAGCTCTGTTTGACCTAACAACAAGAACAAAAAAGTTTTATTAATTATTTTTTTTGTAATGCCATTTTCATATGCAACTCAGTGAATAGTTTGTTAATACATTTTCATGGAAGATAAAGTAGAGTTGAATTATAACTGTCTGGTTACAAACTAAAAGTTGCTTTAGCAGCTGCAATTTGATTGAAAGTAGTCTACAATGGATTTACAAGGACTTTCCTAAAGTATTGTCACATAGATGGCATAACCTTGCCTTTTTTCTGGAAATTAGGTTTCAAGTGACATAACAGCAGTAGAGCCAAAGCTGATTTTAAATTTCCATTTGCCTACTGGAAGCTCATGCAGAGAATAAACAATTATATGTTATAGGCATAAGTATCAGCCAGCAATTAAGTGGTTAAAGTTAAAGCTTATAATTTTATTAACAGAAGGGCATAGTAGTCTAGAGTCTAGAAATATTACAACTCATTGTAGTATTTTTTATCTTGAACCTTAAAGATTTCAATCATTAAACCTAGTCATTAAGTTCATTAGACCTATGCATTAGTGACAACTAAAAGTTTTTGAAAAGGACTTTTGTTCAATAGGCCTTATAGACTCTAATAATCCCACACAATTCAATGCATTAGGCAGCAAGCTGTCTTTATGGAAATTTGTCTCTAGCAATGTTTGCAGGTGCCTCTGCCCATGAAGGTACAGTGCCAAGTAATTTCCAAAAGTACTGTCAGATAGATGAGATAATGTAGCCTTTTTTCTGGAGACTAGGATTTGACTTAGAAATAGAATTCAAGTCAAGAGTGACATAAGATCATTACTGCCAATGCTGTTTGCATTTTACTTATTTTGGACTCCATGTTATTGCTATGTTTGAGATATGATTGATTTTATTTTTAAAGGCTAACTTTTCTCTAAAATGCTCAAACTAACATGCATATATAACGGCATTATGACATGCTAACAAATTCAAAACATTTACAATAAATTTAATTTTTTAAAATGTCATTGATGATGATGATCAGAGATTTTGAGTTGCATTTGTTTTCTCCATGTTATGGATATTCATTCAGAGTTGAAGATAATATACAGCTTAACCCAAACCTCCTGCAAGATGATAGGGGATGGCAGTGAGCAGGATATGAAGCCAGGACCATCAAGATGACTGAAACAACAATCCAGCACACATATACTACATGACCAGGCACCCTTTAATATACAAATAGTAATAGATGTAAAATTGTAGACCTAGATAATCTAGACATTCTAGTCTAGATTCTAGCATCAAAAAAGTCAAAAGAATCACTATATTATATATCATTCGATCATAATGATGATCATATTTTCAAACTGCTTAAGGGTACATGAGCCTGTAACCAAAGTTTATACTTTAGTCATTTAGACTTAGACTTCTTTGTTACTGACTTTGTTGATAATAAAATTACGAATAAACAAATCATTAGTCATAAAAGCATTACAATAGTAACAAATGTAGGCCTACTATTAATAAATTATTATCATTATGATTATCATTAACCGACATTATGACTGTCACTATAGAGTATAGTGACTATCTATAATAATCTATATATAATGTAGACTAGGCCCTCGGAGTTATGGCAGGAGGCTACAGTGAGTAACTAGTTTAGATTGACTAGATTTAGATGTAGATCTATGTCTATATAGTCACTATATTAAATATTATTTTATTTTTATAGTTTATAGTGTGGAATAATTCTCAGTAATTTAGACTAGATAATTTGACAATTAGATCTATATTATTCTAGATGATAGATTTATTTTAAATTTAGTGATCTTATTCTTAAGGTAATAATTCGACGGTTGGGACTCCTCTAAACAATGCTACGCAACAGGTTCCAGATCTAGACTAGATTTAGATTACAACCAACTTACACCATAAAGGTGAGAAATGAAGCTTCTGTTAGACACGATCAATTTGGCAGAGTGGCGTCTATTGTTACCAAGTAGTATGGTTTACTGTCGTAAATTTCTATTTTACGACAACTGCCAAATGCACAAACCTATGTCTATGGTCATTAGCAAATAATTCAACTGACCTATGTATAGATCTATGTGAATTTGGATTCTCTATCACTATGCTATCAAAATTCTGACTGAAAATAAGATAGATAATTCTATATGGTTCGTTTATATCACTATCAGTGATGCCCAAAAGCGATGAAATTGTCCCGAAGCAATTTTATTACAAACGTGTGAATCTAATGCTTAATTGGTTACGCGTCGGAAAATGGCTTCATTTTTCTACTTGAAATGTGAGCAACATTGTAGCTAGTTAGACCAACGAATCATTTTCTTGTCTCTCTTTTTTTTATCATCGAATCTCTGAGCGTAGTTTAACAATCTTTTTATTATCGGCCCGAACCAAGAAAACTTAGAATACTGTCATATTTTTTTAATAATGCCATTTATATCTTGTTGTTTTTTTAAACAGCCATACTTCCTTTACAAATAAAATGTGTTGGTTTATGATCATGTTCAAGAAAAAAAAGGTCCATTCACTTTTCTTGGTAGATGATAAATTGAGAGTCCCATTCAAATTGTAGTTTCTTCGGCTCTCCATTTCATAAACGAACAAATGTTAAGGATAAAAAGTGGGAGCCTTAAAGGTAAGTAAAAATGCATCAGTAAACTTTTTTTTTTTTTTAAAAAAAAATAAAAAAAAGAAAGGAGGGATTTTCTACTCTTTGTACCGACGTTTCGTCGGGTTGAAACCACGTCGCGGGCCGGATCTGGCCCGCGGGTCATATTTTTTGGCATTACTGGTTTATATGATCAAGAAAACAGATGAATTTGAAATTTTACAAGTCAACATTCTAGCTGGCAAAAATGAGAAATTCCTAAATTACTATGAGGCGATTTAAACCTGAGTTGGTTCGGGCATGCTGATCAAATGTTGATACCATTTGATGGCCCGAGTGTCAAAAGGTGCGACAAGCACCCTCTATAGTGACGCCACTGCCTGAAAAAAGGTCTTTTCAAGCCCAGGAGACCGTGTAATATGCCCATAAAGTTTTTACTTGCGTTTTTTTTTTTTACAATAGTTTGGAGGTCATTGTGGGATGCTGTTGCCTTTATGATCCTGTTTCGAATCTCCTCATTTGTGATGCGGTCTTTGTAGGCGATACCTAGAATTCTTCTGTAGCATCTCAATTCCATTGCTAGGACCTTCTCTCTATTTCTGCAGTTAGCGTCCAAGATTCGCAAGCACATTACCTAGCAGGTCGAGGAACCAGTCAAGCATCCACGTTGGAGAACTGGGTGGTTTAAGGTACGTGATTCGAGCCCCGCTGGGAGAGTATCTATAATATGTTTCACCATATTTTTTTTAGCATTCTTCTCTAAATTACCATGTTACCTTAGTGCTGCTATTATTATATGTAATATATTTAATATTTTCAGCACAAATATCAGAAGTTCTGAAGTACAAACTATCACCATGATCCATGATCTTTCCATACAAAATAGACGATAGTGTTACCGATGTGACTATAATAGTTGGCATGATCACGTCGTAGCCTAATTACTATGACTATTATCCTTATTATCATGTTAATATTCATAATTAAATGAAAATATGGTTCAATGTGAGCTTGGCCAAACGGATGTAATTAAATGATTATGTAACTGATGGTTGATAATTTTGATAAACACTCAAAGTGGGCGATGAATGGTCTCTTGAAGTACTTCCCTATAATAATAAAGCCAAGCGTTTTTTCAGGTCTACTAAGCTTCGAAATGTATTATCTTCAAACAAATCTGCCATTCACAACACCTTTTTAATGGAATCTAGTGACTGGTAGGAAACAGATCAATGTGTAAAATGATTTTTTTTAGGAGGGGGTCGAACCTCAACCTTTCAGGCTTACACTCATGACATTTTGTAACTAGATTTGCATAAGTTTTTTTTATCTAAAAGAAGGGGGTGTTAATTCCCACCCCCCTGGAATTTAGAGACTTTTTTTTTATGCTGTTAAGTGTTACTTGAATTCTTGTAATTTACTTTATTAATCTACTACTGGTAGGAAAACAGATTCAAATTGAGCTGCTGATAAAGATGTCACATTGTTGAAGTCTGGTCAATATGTTTCAAGATATGCAATGGTAGGCCCAATAAATAACGACATCTAAACGAAACTTTTTGTTTTAAGGTTAAAGGCAATCCCAGCGAACTCTGTCTACTAATGAATGTTAAATTAAAAATGAAAGTAAAATAAAACAAAAAGAAAAAAAAACATTAACATTATTTTAATTCATAAAATTAATTTTATTGATTATAAGAAAGATGGTATAATACGGTGTAGAAACAGTGAAGTTTAGTCAAAACAATTTTTGAACGAAAAAGTCTGTTGGTAGGCCTACTTAAAAAGTATTAGTTTGAGCTTCTAAGTCATTTTCTAGATGAATTTTAATGAAATATACCTCCTTGGTCTTTCATTTTTTAAAATACTTGTAAGGGTATAAATTGACAATATTATGTTAACGGTACAAGCATTGATTTACAACTGAAAGTAATATATTTAGTGTAACCTTGTAAACATTTTTCTATAAAACAAAACACTTCACAACAAGGGCACGGAACCAGGCATATAGATTCAGATGTGAAAGCGCTGTATGCTACACAGTTTGGCCATTATAGACTCACATCAGGGCCGGCCTTAGGAAGTTGGAGGCCCTATGCGAAGAGTATAGGGTAGCCAAAATGAAATAGAAAACAAAAAACTAAAACCAAAAAATATGCAATGATTTAAAAACCTTCCTGATTTATACCTAAATCAACAAATAAGCTACACTGATATATTGCTGATAGCATTCTAAAATGAAGAGTAGAATTATCATTCTAACTTTTCACCAAACAATGGTCTTCTAACATAGGTAGTCTAACTAGTAGATCTAAACAATGGTCTTCTAACATAGGTAGTCTAACTAGTAGATCTAAACAATGGTCTTCTAACATAGGTAGTCTAACTAGTAGATCTAAACAATGGTCTTCTAACATAGGTAGTCTAACTAGTAGATCTAAACAATGGTATTCTAACAGATGTGGTCTAACTAGTAGATCTAACCATTCATGAATAAACCTTAAACCATAGTAGAGATTTAGAGCTAGGCTAGTAGACATAGAGACATAGTAGAGACTTAGAGCTAGGCTAGCAGACATAGAGACATAGTAGAGACAGATCTAGGCTAGCAAACATAGAGACATAGGGTTCTGCTATGTTTGAGATTTGATCCATGTTTCACATTTATTTAAAAAAAAAAAAATCTTTGAGACCTGTGCGAGGCCATCACCAATTGGAGGCCCTGGTGCCTAGTTTGCCTATGCCTAAGGCCGGGCCTGATGACATTAATCAATTCAATCAAGGCACTGACTCATACAGCTAATCCAACATAATCCAACAGTAAATACTATTCGTGAACATATATGACGTAATGACCAGAATGCAGACGAATGGGTAAAGCTGAGTGCTTTCCCTTGACCAGATTTGACAATCATGTTTAAATTTAAATACATACATTCTTTATCAGTCTAATTAATGAAAGGAAGACTTTTTTAAAGATGAAATATGAATATACGCGAGTATAATTAGATCTATATGTATATTATGCAATTTGTAATATTTATCATATTTTTAAAACATCAACATTTTAGGGAGGCAAAAAGGCTTTTTTTAAAAAAGTATTTATAAAAGATCTCCTCCGCGAAATCTGCGCGCCATATTTAACTGAGTTCTTCTGTGGACGATTTGGTCTTTTCTATGTCCACCTCAATCGCGACCTCCTTTTCTCCATCCAACTTGGTCTCGTCGATTTCCACGACCTCTGTCTTGACCTCTTCAAGTGGCGCCTTTTCTGGTCCAGGTGCTTGCTTCTTTGGTTTTTTGGTTCGGAGAAGGCATTTCTTGGCTCCGGCAAAAGTGGCACCGGCTGAGAAGATGTAGTCGTAAGACAGACCAGCAAGCAGAGCTCCAGTTATGGGCCCTACCCAAAATATCTGTGAATGTAAAATACACAAAGAACAATGGAGAGTATTTCATTTGTTTGAGACAGAAATATAAAGAAAAGTTTTCTGCTAATTGTAGCCGTATATTTTTAAATTGGGGAAAATGTAAAACCACTATTAAAAAGATATTAATAATCAGGGCCGGATTTAAGTATGTGGAAGCCCACGGCCGGATTTTATTTTTCAAAAGCTTTAATAAAAATCAACTTATTAATAATTAATATATGAATGCAGGGCATACTTTAAAAGGGAGTACTTGCAAGTTAAATAAAATTTTCCTTCCATTAAAATATTATAAAATATGCATATTTTAGTGACCAATGATGTAAATTTTTAGGTTTTATGTAATGTAGGAAATCCGGAGCTACTTTGATATATACCATAAGCACGCTGTAAGCTAGTTCTAGTAGGCCTATAAGCGGAAACGTTTTAACCACATCAAAGTTTTGTCGGTGAAAATGCGAACAAAATGTTTAAAGAAATGCATAAAGTTAGTGACCCGTCGCAATATAGATTTTTCTGTTTTGTGGGGGACTTTTCTTTTTTTTTTTCAAATACCAAAAGAGGCTTGACATGCCAGTGAGTAGGCTTATGTGTGTGTGTGTGTGTGTATGTGCAATTATCAGTGTGCGTGTCTGTGAGTAGCCTACTTTGAGTGGGCCACTATTCTTTCAGTGACGCCACCTCGGTGCATTCAGATTAAGTAGACACTGGCTCACATTGTAGTTCATTTCGAGGCTATCGCGTGACATCTGTAGCAATAAGACGCCATATTTCTTCTACAGTAAGAAACGTAAACTTGCAGTTTGTTTACAATATGTCCATAATTTTTATAAAACAAATATTTTCTTTGTTAAATTGTAAATGGAAAAAAAAAAGGTCAAGATTGTATGGCATCTTTAGGGAAATTTAAAGGATGAGCAGATTTTCTAAACGAACTTATCAAACATCAGATATGATTTATTTGGTGATGATAGTTTTATGAAAATGAACTTATATGTGAGCTTGCGCCCCTAGATCTAATTTAATTTATATTATTTACATAGGCCAGGGCTATGATGTTTGTTATTTAGTGTCCTTTTTTATTTTTATAGTTCAGTGCTGATTATTTTGTAGTTTCCGCTATTTATAACTTTCTGCTAGTTTTAGTCTTTTTCTGTTATTTGTGTTTTACCCGTAGAGGAAAAGTAGTTTTTAAAATAGTTAACTAGCCTTGGAGCTGTGGATGTTATTTTCTATTTTTTGTCCCAGGTTAGTTCTGCTTATTTTTGTCTTTGGCATTAGTGTTGGAATAGTTGTTATTTTTTTATATCAGTTTATGTGCAGGTCTGTAAACGGTATAGAGCCCCCATATGAGTTTAGAATAGAAATAACTTTTTATCTTCTTTTTGTATTTTTATAGGATTTAAATTTTAAGATTCTCTTTTTAATGCTGTTTAATTTGGTATATAATGTTGTGTAGTCCGTGTCTTTAGTAATTTGCTAGATTTTATTGTTGTGTAAGGCTAGGTACAAATTAGGGAAATAGGTAGTCCAGTTTAGTTTTAAATAATTAGTGTGACGTCATGCTCTCCGATACGTTCGCGCTGACCAGTTATAGCTGGCTCCGGGACCACGTTGAATTCTTTTTTTGTCTCGACCAGTGGTCAGTGCGGACAGTGGTGTTTGTGTAGAGTTAGTTTTGTGTAGTGCTATTTCGGCTGGGACCGCCTGTAAGTTGTGAATTGTTTTTATTTTTGCTTTCTTTTATTGTATTAGTATTGATTGTTTCTGCATCTATTGCTATAGTCTAGATGCAGACTGATTAGTTTAGTGGCGTCACTGGCTAGTTAATTAGCCATGATTGCCTCTGATGGAGCCGGAAGCTCTGTAGACTTGGGTAGTGTCACCCAATTGCCCCAGCTTAATGCTTTTGCTTTTCTATACTATGTCTAGGTGTAAATATTTTATTATTTTGTTTTCTATGTAATTTTATTATTTTTATTGTTAGGATAACCACTCCATTTAAGTTGGCGATTTGTCCTTCTTTTTAATGTAAAAGATGGCTGCGGCCTAAGCATCGCTGTCATGGCGGCTTGTTTAGTGTTAATAGTATCATTTAGATCTAGCTTGTGTCTATTGTGGTCTAGCCTGACCTGTATTGGTTGTGGCTGGTATTGCTTTTATTAGCTACATGAGGTAATTGAAATTACCTCATGCTTGTATGTGCTAGACTAGGACTAGGTCTAGTTCATATTTATTTTTTATATTTATCATTATTTCTTATGTTTGTTTATTTTGTAATTGCAGGCTATAATTCCTGCATTGCTGCTGTATTGTGACTGCATTGCTGCTACTGCATTGCTGCTGTATTGTTACTGCATAGCTGCTACTGCATAGCTGCTACTGCATTGCTGTCTGCCTAACTGTCTGCCACAGTTATTACTGCATTACTCCCTTACTGTATTACTGCATTGCTGTCTGCCTAACTGTCTGCCACAGTTATTACTGTATTACTCCCTTACTGTATTACTGCATAGCTGTCTGCTGTAGTTCCCAGTTACAATAGTTTATTGTTTTGTAGGTTATTTTAGTGGTTTATTGCCTTGTAAGGTGTCTTGGTGGATTTTGGTGAATCGGGTTAACTAGTGGTTTTATTTGGGTTTGGTTTGTTGGATAGTGATTGTAGTTGTAATAGTATAAATTAAGTAGAGTCGATTAATCGTTTAGTTTTTTGTTTATCTAGTTGTTTACGTATATTTTCTTTTGCACATATATTTTTATTGATTTGTTTTTTCCTCGTGTAAATAAAGTGTATATAAGTTCATTTTAATCTTAGTTTGTTTTTTAGTCAGCTAGTTTAGTTTAGTTTAGTTTGCTTGTGCTGTCTGGTTGCTTAGGCTACTATAGCCCCTTGGTCACCATACCGAGGTGCACAGATTGGGCCCACCCAGTAGAGCTACCATCTGCCTACTGTAAAATGAACAAATGTTGAGCAGCAAGTAACACAAAAAAAGAGGCCTCACTCAGGTAGCGCCACCCTGACCTGCTCACATATAAATAGATACGCTTATATAGATCTAAAACTAACTAGGTCAAGTAACAGTTGTCATTGCAGGTTTAAGGCAGAGCAATCACTCTTTAACGATGAAATCATGAAACCCCATTCAAACATATTGGCTACGCCCATGAACATTTCCAATAGTGTAGGCGTAGTTCTAATAATGTCATTTACGCTTTAGATAATTAAATTCACTACCATTCCGTAGACCGTGATGAATGTGTTGTGAATAAATAAGCTACACAGTTGTTGTATGTGTTTCTCTGAATGTTTGCATCAATTGCGGATAAATGTGTGTATGTGCTTACAAAGGACTGAAGGAACGTGTGTGTGTGTGAGTGCGCGAGAGAATGTGTAAGTGTTGTTTGTAGCCTTGACCTGTTATCAGGTATGTGCCACTTCAGCACTCCAGCCCACCCCCTCAACTGCTTTCCCCCCCCCCCCCCCCCCCCCCGACAGAGTAACAACACAAGAAGCGTCAACCAAACAAATAAATGTGTTTACTCTGGAATGGCATCGTAGTTCAGTGAGCAACAACTAGTGAGCTTTGAATGACTCAATTAGAAAGTACTCACGCTCACCACACTCTCAAGCCATAACCAGGGCCGTTCAGAGGCTGTGGTACACAAGGGCGCAATCTTAAATGCTATCCTTATAGCAACACTTTTCACCCCCTCCCCTCCTCTGTAAAATGCAGTCATGTATAAATGTATGGAGTCATTAGCAGATCTAGAATGAGAAATGGAGTATAGGGCCTAAGCGAATTCAAAATCTGAAGTACTCCAAGAGAGAGAAAGAGAGAAAGTAAGAGAGAGAGAGAGAAACTCAGATAGAGAAAAAGGGAGAGAGAGTGAGACGCAAGAGAGAGAGAGAAAGAGTTAGTTATATATTTTTTCTCTTTCCTCTTATATATCTAA